ATTTATAATATTATTTTACACTCTGTAGGTCTAAATATTAATTAGAGGACAAATCAGCTTGAAATATTTCTTACTTTGTGTTTTATTGTAGCATGATTTAGCAGAGTGATACACTCTGTATTTATGCTCCATAAGCTAATATCTGCTGACCAGTTCAATAAATAACAGTGATTACATGGACTTTATAAGATAATTTTAATTTTAAACTGTTATATTATTAGCTTCAGTTCTGGTCAGATAACTTTAGCTAAATAAGATCAAATCTGCTCAGGTGAAATGTGAATTTTTCCTGTTTATCTTCTGTTGGTAAATCACACAGCAGCTGTTGTACAGTATATACTGTACGTCCATGGCTGAAGCACATCTTGGGTCACCACCATTTTGGATGCATCTCTCTTCTCTCTAGGCAGCAAACAAACAATAGTTTTGGTTATTTTACCATTTATATTATTTTGTCAGTGCAGCTAACATTATTTGTCAATAAACAAAATGAAAAAAGTAGGAATTGTTTCTTTCTCTTTCTCAGTATGACTTGGTGGCTCATATTTTTAATGTGTGACAATGTCCTGTGTCATAACTACACCCCTGCTGTGTGTAACAAGCCAAACCCTGTGAAAACTGGGTAATAATTTGTGGAGGTGTGATTATTTTATTTGGGCAAACAGCTTCCTGAGTACAAATAAATGTGCTGGAGGCGCAAGAGGGACCCATCCAACATGGCAGCCACACTGAAGCAGCAGCTCCAATAGGCAGTGCCAGTCCACAGGGCCTCTACATACCAGTGGAGGATGCTGGTCTTTAAAGAAGAGGAAGCTCAGTTTCAGCCTACATCCTAAAATGTGTCTGTTTATTTATATGTAAACTCTATCCTCCGTTCCTTTTCAAGAAAATGGTCTGTGATAGGGTCACAGATCATTTTACAACACTTCCAGTCAGTAGGACAGCAGAAAAGACCTGTTACCCCACATTTACACTACATGTGTCTCTGCTGCGGTGCGCAGGTCGCAGCTGTTCATTTGTGCCCCAATTTACACAGCCTCTGCTCCGCTCCGGTCCGACAGGAAGCAGATGGAGCGATAAATTCAGTGATAAATGTGGAAGTCACAGCAAAAAATAATTAATTCTGTGAAAGATGAACTCCAAACACAGCTGAAAACAACGATATAAAGGCTTTTGATATCTATGTTGAAACTGTCTCACTGTCGGCTTCCTGGAACTTCTGATTTCAAAACAAAATCCACGTGTATCATGTGTGTACACATATGCTTCATGCTATGTTTCCATCTGCTTCCCAAACAGAACCATACATTCTGACAGCATTTGTGTAGAAATATATCCCTATATTTATTAATATAGCTGGGATTTCGACATTATTTCGACAAATTATTCTGCCGAATAGTGTCTTATTTTGAAAATACGGATGTTGTGCTCATTTCTTTTCCTGTTGCTGCGACGTAATCTTTAAAAATTGACTCCGGCGCTACTCCGGCGACCGGCAAAAATAGGATCTGTTTTAATTTTGACGGATCGCCGTCCGCTCACCGCCGCCCTGCACTGCCAGTGTAAACACTCTCATTGGTTATAGTGGGTGTGTGTTTGCTGCGGAGGTCGGACCGGAGCGGAGCGGAGCCAGAACGCATGTAGTGTAAATTAGGGGTTACTTCCCCCCACCTTTTGCACCAAATTAATCTGAGGATTTGATCAGCCCTGCTGTTTCTATTTTTCTTTGTAAGGAAAACTGTCAAATGGCTTCACCAAAATCCGCTCCACAACATTCAAACTGCCATATGTGCAGCTGGTTACTAGTGTGAGGCCAGTGTGAAGTGTGTCTGTCTGTGAGTGCTTTGTGACGGTGGAGGGGCTCAGCAGCCCCCGCTGGACAGAAACTGTGATAGACGTCAGAAAGAGAGATAGAAGTCTGTCTCCAAACACAAGCAGCTAAAAAAAAAACAACCTCCAGAAATAGAAGCTCGATTTGTCCTAGTTGTTTTTAACAAATAAAATGCTGCTAAAAGAATTAATAAAGTCTCCGATTCAGCTCAGAATATAATGAAAATAAAACTGCTCCACTGAATGCTTACTGTAGATTCCTAAATAATGAAGCCATAAGCTTGACGCTCTCCGTACTTCCCCTTTGGTCTACTTGATTAACGAAAACGACGAAAAATCAGCCTGAGTCCTCTCGATAAAGGTTAACAGTTTACTTCAAAAACAAAAACAGTACAAATGTTACTTTTCCACAAAAAAATAATATAGTAAACTAAAGGTCTTATGCAAGAGAAAAAGAAAGAAAGCAAGAGGTCAAAAAACTGTGTGGCTCCACTCCAACTACCCAACCCGGAATGCACAGCCCCACCCCCCAATCCTTAACTCCAATTACCTATGCAAATTTACAAGAAGACCTTAGTAATCCAATATAACAGATTAGTATGAAATAGAGATGCAATATGTAATTATTTTTCTCCAAATAAACAAGTTACCNATATTATTATTTTTGAACCATCTGTTTTATTTGTTTCATAGCTTTTATCCTGGCTCAGCAGCTACCAGCAGCTTGTATTTATTTAGAACTTTTATCCAATAATATTTCGATCATCATCTGMTGCTAGGGTCCTCAAATCTGCCTCAGGCCTTCAGAATGAGCAGTGAAGGCACATGGAGGGTGAAACACGTCACTGATACTGTTGCTTTGACCAATCAGGTGCTGAGGTGAAGACACCAGAGCCAGATGGCTTCAGACAGCATCAACATTTTCTCATTGTTTGATTGGCTGATCAGAGAGCAGGAGTCAGAACCAGGAAACTAGATTTCTGTAGCGTCTTATAATCTAAATGCTGAGTGGACATTCTCAGAGTTACAMAAAATTAAAACTTATAAACAC